CAGCAGCAGCAACAGCAAAGTAGTAGTAGTAATAGTAGTAGTACTGTAGTAGCAACAGCAGTGATGGCAGTGACGATTGAAAACGAATCATCATTTTGTTGCGCTTACAATAATTCCACACTTTCTGTAATAATCTCTTCCTTTAATTTTTGTTCTTAATATCAAATATTGAAATATATGTAAAAAATATAATCAAGTGCAAACGCGCAAAGTAAAGAAGTTTATCGGACTTTTTAAATACCGTAGTTATTGTGCACCAATTATGTCATCAACGCGAGTGTCATTGAACAAAATAGCGATTAGTACTGTTGCTGAATGGGGGAATTATTCCCTAAGGAAAAAAAATTGAAGTTTTTGAACCGAGATTTTTTAAAATTCGTTCAGATTCCCACCCGAGTACCTATTCCCTATGTATTATGTTATCTTTGTTTAATATTCAGTGAGTAACGAGGATAAAATGATACTCGGATGAAAATATGAATAGTTTGGAGAATTTAGCAAAAAGTTTAGAAGAATTTTTGGGGGACTTTTTGGGAGGAGAATACAAAGAAATATCCAAATTAAATTAATTAAATTAAAACATTGAGAGAATTGCAATATATATATATATATATATATATATAGAAATAACTTTCGAAGTAACTTTTCAAACAGACAATGCTGGCGATTGGAAACCGATTCATAAAAATTATATTTTCATAATTTAATAATTGAACATATATAATAAATATTATTATATTTTTACTATATTTCTATAATATACATTATTATAATAATAAATAATTATACTATTATAATATTGTATCATAATAGGGAAAAATAGGATAATTGTCTACATTTTTGTTTAGCACTCTTTTCCGATAAATGGAGCCGCTATCGCAGCGAAATTTCTAGAGAAGAGAGAGACTAGAGGTAGTTTTTTAAATATAACCATAAATTATATAATTCGAAAATGTAGTTAACAGTGAGTAGTAAAAATGAGAAAAATGTGAAATTACATATTTCAATAATAATTTTGACACCCAGAAAATAATACGGTAAGTCCGTACTATTCTCTTACTTTGTTTATTTAATCGTGCATACCTTAATAAAGTACGTTATTGTATGCATCTTTTAAGCGATTATTCATTAAATTAAGTTAAAAAATGTTTAAGTAATTGTTTTATAAGCTCTACCTTTGTAGTATAAGCAAAAAAATCTTTAAAAAAATCTCAAGTACTTATATCCAAATTTTTACTGATCATTGACCATGTTATTTTGTCGATTCTTGCTTGTTAACAAAATGTAATTTCTTTTATTGTATTAACACCACAAAACTTGCAACTTACACCGACGAAAATGATGGAATCAATATGACAAACAAAAATTGTGTGCTCCAATTATATTATAGATTTTTCAGTACCACTCACAATGTATATTGGAACTCAAAAAAAATGTTTGATAAAATACTTGCAATAAATTAAATAAGTTAATTATCTATCCTACGCCACATGAAGGCATCATCATTAATACAGAACTTACTTACATATCAATAAGTTAAAAATTAATAATTGCCATTAAATTTTGCAGTGTTAATACAATTTAATTCAATTAGAGTTAATAATTTTTTGTCAAATTAAAAATATTTTCTCCTTTTCTAAAACTTAATTTTTTAAATTATGTCATTTCTGAAGTAGGAGAACGATACGCTAGATTTACACTGTGGCATATCATGAATTATGTATCACTCTAACATATTTTATAATCTTTGCTATTTTGTATATATAATATTAGGTGTTGGAATTAATTCGTAGCGTTTTTAATGAAAGAATGTTATTTATTTCACATGAGCATTAAAAAATACATTAATGAAAGTACTTCCCATCACTTGTAAAACGCTACGAATTAATTCCAACACCTAATATTTTAATTTGTTTGGACGTCTCTAATCTGAACATCAATCTCTCTTATTGAGGAAAAAAATAATCTAATAAACTTTACATACAATGCGCAATGTAATAAAATATATATTTATGCATAATTACTTTTCTTTCAATTTTTTTTCAAATTAACATATACATTATATTTTTGCAAAACATCAGGTAGAAAATATTTTATTATTTTAACTTATATTTTTATATATTTAATTTGCAAGATTAAAAAGATTACTTTGTCAAAGTAACTATTTACGATTGTTTTTTCTCAAAAAATAATTAGTTACCGTTATAAGTTATCGAGTCTAAAAAATAATATGTTATAATTATTTCAAAAGTAATAAGTCGTTATTTTTCAGTTAATTTTCTCTTAATTTTGTATAATTTTTGCATTATTATTTTAAATATAAAATCTTATATATTTCTGATGTTACTAAATTATTTTACTTATTATATTAAACAATCAATGTACTAAATATTATTTATAACAAATTAATATATATTTGAAATCAAAATTACAACACAATATTAATTAAGACGTGTAGTTCCACGCTCTGGGTGGTCGACTCCATGATCCATAGATCCGGGTTCGATTCCACCCGTGCTCCGCATGCAGTTTTTCCGCATTTTAAAGGAGAACATCGCTCCATCTGTGAATTAAAGCACTAACTTGTTCTTCTCTCAAGGGGCAGTGTTGCTCCAGTACAACCCTCTAAATGGGTTGGAAAGCCACACAGGGGAAAGTAAAGACAAAGACAAAGGCCGGTATTCATAGTCACTTCTTATATTCAAAACTGTCTTAAGTTCAGTCTGAGGTATCACGAATCAATTAGACGGCCGCATTAACGTCTTAAGACATTACTTAACACAGCATATAAGATCAACTATGAATACCGACCAAAGATTATGTATGAATGTGTAGATGCGATATGTTTGACTTGATAGTAGCTATCTGCAAGCAGAAAGATATTAAGACTGAAACTTGTGTAATTTAAAGTCCAATTTAAAAAATTTCCAAATTTTAAATTACATTAATAGTGTGATTAGATAAAAGCGCATATGTAGCAAATTGATGCGACATAAAAAGAACATTAGAAAGAACAAGAAAGAAAGGATTAAGAAATTAACTCGTGATGTCACGTATCTAATATGAACTCTCAAAGAACAATGTTGTGACCAGAGTTTCTAATTGCAGACGTTGCTACATCAATATTGCGAATGATGGCGAGTGAGAGAGAACTGGAGAGAATAGCATGGAAAATAGCGAGTGGGTATCAATTGGATATCCACTCACAGTGCTTTAACAGTGGGAAATTCCTAGACATCGATCCTGTTGTGAGTGGCCGTGTCCAATCGTAATGCGATAAATCGAGATTTTCCCAAAAATAACAAGTTACGACAGCAAAAGAAATTTCTTTTTCCACCGCGCTGCAGCTAACTATTTCCTAGGTCATTCGCTCCACTCTCCCCCACCACTCGTAGTATTCGTTGCATATAGCAACGTCTGCAATCTAGAAGTTCTAGTTGTGGCTAATATAATTTTATTGTTTGTTTAAATAATACTTAGAGCGAGAGTCACAGAGGAATTCTTTAGATCTAGATTCTTTGACTAGGTTTCGACATATAGGGACTGATATGGTTCTCCCTCTATATTACTACTATTATTACTACTACTACTGTTTATTTATATTTATAATATTTGTAAATACTATTAATCATGAATTAAAGGATACCGCAAAACTATAATCAATTATTAATTAATCAATATGTAAATTTATTTATATTTCTATTAACATAATGACATATGATAACAATACTCGATCAATTTGCTATTCTCATTATGGACAATAATTTTATATGTACAATAATTATATATAATTTTATATGTAATAGATTAATTTTAAGTTATTACAGAATCTGTACAAGTAAAGAAAACTGAAATAATTTCTTGGAACATTTGCATAAAGATGTATAATATTCGGTGTAGCACATGCAACCGTTGAATAAATTAGTTTACCTCGTGGCAAGGATAGCATCAAACGCGATGCCATTATTAAATAAGTAATTGTATCGAATGTCATGTTGAATGAACGAAATAATATTGATGTGACAGTGTTGCAAATGCATGTAGCAATACGTAGTAAAATTTTGTTAATACATAAAATATTAAAAAATTTTTATTTTGAAGCAAATATATTTTTATCGAATTTATTACACACAATTTACATAAAATAAATAAAAAATAAAAATAAATAAAAGCAAAGATAATTCAATTCAATTAAAAAAACTATATGAAAGTATAGAAAACAAGAAAAATAATAAAATAATAAAATAATAAATAAGAAATATATTTTTTCTTTTTGTTATATATAGTCTTAATGAAGTACAATCTTTTAAACTTGCATTTAAAAAATTTTTAATCTTTTTTATTGGCGTTTACTTCTATTTCATTTTTTATCTCTTTTTTTCTCTTTACTTTTTAATTTTTCTATTATCCATCATCCTTATTTCTATTTTAATTAATATAATTATGTTTTTCTTTTATTTTTCTTATTTTTAATCTTTTTTATTTATATTCTATGCAGGATATGATCATCGACTTTTAGATTATCTTATATATATATATATCTATATACGCGTGACGCACAAAATCGGAAATATAATCTGCATAAGAAAAACTATGAAAAACGAGATTGTTGCTGGCCTCAGCGAAAACGAACGGCGAGGACGCGACACTAATGCTATGTACTCTGTCGAGTCAAGCACTTTGACTTGGGCACATGTTGTGCCAACTCAGCGACAATGTAAGCTCGTATCATCGAAAACAAGAGGAGCGAGGCAGAATTGAGTGGGCGAGATTAAGCCCTTGTTCGACAGCTGGTAGCGTATATCACGCGTTATACACCCCGCTTAACAGTGGCGAAATCATATCAAAGAAATATACTTCAGAAAGAGAAGAACGTATTTATATACAAGCTGATAAGTAAATTAATCGTACTATAAGGACTAGTTACGTTAAAATTAGAATACATAAATCTTATGAGATGTTTAATACATTCTTTATATATATAATACGTTTTCTCTTCTTTTACATATATTTTTTTACTCTTTTAATTTTTTTTCTTTTATTTAGATGACATCTTCAGATATATAACGATAAAAAATTATTACACAAATAAAAATCTATTATATAGTATATCATATACATGTATATATAAACAAATATTTTTTATTATATCGATATAAAGAAGATTAAAATGTGTTAAATTACAAAAAAAAATGTATAAGAGTATAATATGTTGAAATTTATAAATTTGGTAAATTTGAAGGAAAGGGGAGCAATCCCAATAACTTTGACCTTGACATACATGATTAAAGTCATAACTATGAGTAACCTTCAGGAAATTTTAGTCACTCATTATCCACATTAAAAAGTTATTAACAAAAAAATATTCATCAATAAAACATAAACTTTTGGACACGACTCTACTCCGATGAAACAAATTCTCTGCTTTAAAAACATAAATTATTTTCTTATATAATATTTGTATTTAAAAAAAAAGAACTTGTGTTTTTAAAGCAGAGAATATTTTATTATGTAACATTTATAGCTTTTTCATTTTTTTACATAAATTGAAATCTTTAAATATTTTTCTTTAAAATGGACACTAACTTAAAGTAAATTAAAATACAATTATATCGCCCAAAATCCTATTAATTTTGACAAATATTTCATAATATATCATTTAATTAATTTGATAATTAGAATTTAAAAAATTACCTTTATATAAGCAAATCTGTCTTAAATTTCGCGTTTCCGAATTTTTGTGTATGCTTCTCTTAATCTAAAAGGATTATTATACAATTGTTCAAATGATCCTATTTTACGATTAATAAGATAACAATCTACAGCACGTGATGAATATAACACAAAGATTCTCTAAGGATCTGTATGAAAGTATACTGATATATATATATATATGCAACAATTTGAGAATACGTTCGAGAATATATAAATATGATCGAAGAAATCAAAATAAAGAGAATAAAGTACATTCCTTGCACATACATTTTTTTTTAATGTATATCCTGTTTAGTAGTATTGATCACCATGGATAGTACACACTTTAGACAATTTTAATCGGTACATGTCAATCACAGTTAGATAACTCTCATAGTTGACTGACAAATTTTCAATACGCATTTGCATGAATTTATTAATATAACTTATAATTTCGATCGCTTGTAGAGTTTTTTATGTGAGAAAAAATTTGTATGGAATGAAGTAATATATATCCAAGGTGTCGAAATGTATTAACATTAAGGAATGTTATTGAGAATCATATATTTCACTGTAAAAATAGTTAAAGATCGAAATAAAAAGTAATATGTAATTTTAAAATCAGCATTCCATGGAATATGGTTCAAACGCGCACATTGAAGTCTTCCTGTAATTTGCGATGTATCAGTTATTTTTTAATAATGCGGCCACTACGACATGGATTTCTAATAAAGGAATTAGATCTTAATGATCATACTGTTGTCAATTGGTATATTTTTGTCAAGAAGTAAGTAAAATACTGCTTATTATTTATGTATGTTTGCTATTAAGTAATGTGTTAAATTATTTTTAAGTTATTTCAACAATAAGTCTTGAATTCAAAAACAAATTGGTGGAGCGGATAAAATACTAGATGGAGCTGAAGGAAGTGAAAGAAAGTACAATACTGGACGAACAATTAGAGGATAATAAGTTTTCGGTGGAATTAAACGCGGTATTTAGAAAATGTTTATTTTATCTATATCAAACCGATCCATTAAAACCTCTTTTGCCAATTATTTGAAAATATGTCGCAACTGATTTTATTATTCACATGATAAATGACACGCATATGATAGTTTGCAAAATGAAAATTATACACATTTGACAGTCAAATCATGCAATAAATTTTGTTGATTCTAAATAGTATTCATACAATGAACAGATTAATAGTTTTTTCGATGTTATGAGTTCTATTCATTAGATCGTTTAAATATTAATTAAAATTCTCGTTTTATACATATATTGATACTTTTTTCATTATAATTCCCTATATAGATTATGGTGGTAATTTTCATAATATTTTTACAATTATAACTTTTTAATGGATTACGAGCGACTAAAATCTCTTGAAAGTCACTCATGACAATAACAATATATATCAAGGCCAGGGTCATCAGGGATTGCTCCTATTTTCTTCATTTTTACTTCTTTCAATTTAGGACAAAGAAGGACAGATTAGTGTTTAGGGTAAGGAAGAGATGAAACATATAGAAGTGGAGGTGGGAATAGAGGAAAACGAGTGGAGTTACGAACGGCACTATGAGGGCAAAGTTATCCAATTATTGTCTAACCTGAGAGCAACTTTACTTGGCAAAGAACTCGTAGGGACAGGAGGGAACGCTCTTGCTGTTCTCACAGAAAGAAAGAGAGAGAGAGAGAGAGAGAGAGAGAAGTAATTGGGTTTTTGTTAGTGATTTGTATATTTAAATGACTTCGCTTTCAAGTATAAATCATACGAATGAATCTTATAAGGGACTTTGAAATACTTTTTATTCAGAAACTAGTCAGAAGTGTTTTACTACTGAGATTTTTTTTATTAGGATGCAAGAATTACAATATATCATGAATTCAATATTTTCAATTAATTTGCTTGAATTAAAGTTTGAAAAAAACTGCTTTAAGAAATAGAATGAAAGGGAAAAGAAAAAAGAGAGAAGAGGAAAAAAGGAAGAGAGATAAAGAAGAAAGAAGAAAGAGGGAGAAATCTTTTCTCACTTTTCTGTAAATAAAGAATACTATCTAGAATAAAAATATAAAATACTAACAAAACTAAAAATAAAACAAAATAACACGAAAAGAAAAATGATGTCAATTCCAAATCGTCAATTCTAAATTCGTCATGAAGTATATGTCAAGAGAGCATCCAATACAATAATAGCATCATATCATATTTGTTTCGAATATGATTTTTCATATGCCAAGAAAATTTTGGTACGAAGAAGAAAGAAAAGAGAAAGAATAACAAGCAGAGGATAAGAAAGTCCAATTATGACGATGAGTATCAGTGGCGGTAGTTTGGCCATTCTCGTTCTCACGAAAGGGAGGGACTGTGGAAGGGTTGTTGCTCTCCGTTCACCATACCTTCCGTCTCTGAACGAACAGCTAAGAGAAGAATGGTAGAGGAGGAAGGAGAGGCGACTACTTAAAGTTGGCGGAAAGTTTGGTTCGGCAGCAAAGTTAACTGAGTTAAGTTCTCCGCTCCTAAAGCGAAACTTCGCTACTTCTCTCTAACGCTCCTTTCTCCTCCTCCTTCTCGTTGTTCCTGCTTTACTCTCGCCTCATCTCTCCTTTTCTCTCATAAACGACAAGCGGTTTCTCTTCAACATTCCGGATTGTCTAAAGGAGTGTGTTTTGGGATTACTTTCTTCTTCGTGTCCATATGACTTCCGGTGTATCACGTAAGAAAAAGAAGAAGTTAAGATATATCTCATAAGCTACGGTTTTCAACACACAAAATCAAAAAATATCCTAAATATATTTAAAATTATATATTATATATTAATTATATTAACGGCGTTAAAGCTAATTAAAATTGTTTGAAAATCGCTTCATTTTTTCTGTAAAAAAAATGATAATCTGAGAGACGGATTAGGCATATTTAAAGAATAATACTCGATAAGAGTAATAATCCTAAAGAATTGAGAGTATACCTATCAAAAGATTACTATCTGACGAAGAATCATAATGTAAGCGAATTATAGCAAAGCAACGGCTAACGCAAACCATTGTAGATTTGTTAAATTCTGCAAATGCAATTTGTTGGCCTTGAAGCTGCATTTCTCTTTTGCACGCATCAACACATGCGACGCACGTGACGAGACACAAACTGTTTTTCCTATGTCTTCCTTTCCTGCCTACTCTCGTAAGCAAGTAAACGAGCTCACGGATCGATATAGATACACGCAATAGTACTCACCACTCAGCAATAAGCTCTTAAGCTAATCGACTAACTCTCACTGATTATAGGTTTCGACCAATGCAAGAATTTTTTAACGAGTTATTAACTTCTTTAGGGCTATTTGTTTGATATTATACCAAGAAAAATTTTGATTGCATCACAACGAGACACATATAGTAGATTACATTTTGATGAATGAATAGAATGAATACTTTAATTATGATTAGATTCGATATAGATAAATTTTTATATTTTTGTCAAATGTGGCGAAACAGTTTCTACTTTTTGGAATTAGACTTTCAGATGACGCTAAACACTGTACAGCTTTTTTTTAATAAGTTTGAGAACTCTAACTCGATATTTTAGCTGGAACAGCTGATAGATTCAACCGTGGTGAATTTAGATAAGGTGACCTATTCCGCAGAGGTCTAGTAATCTGAGAGCTCGACCAATCAGAAATTGAGCTCATTTGCAATGTGAACGATGTGAATTTCTGCAAATGAACTCAAAACTTGATTGAATAACAGATCTCCTTACTACTTACAACGCATTCGTGGGAATGAGTCATCCAATTCCACTATGAATTTAATCATAAAGATTTGATTAGTATTTTTGGTTGGACCCAAATCTCTAATTATAGATGAATGCGGCAGAATTATATTTCTGATAAGTAAATAACTACATAAAATAAAATAAAAGACGCAACATGATATTTTTTTATCAACATTTTTGATAAAATAATTCTTTGAATGTGAATTCCCATATTTAGGAACGAAGATGAAAATAAATGAGAGATACGTATCATAGTAATTTCAATTTTGTACAAAAATTAAGATAATTATATCAGATTTTTTAGATAATCCTTTAGTAAACTTATATTTAAATATAAGGCAAAGATATAATATGTATAAAGGGATAGTATAGGAAATGTTCTTTTTTCGCTACAACTTCAACTAATTTGAAAACAAATTTTTATTATATTGAAAAACATTGAGAGAAAATGATTAAGACAATCTTTTTAATGATTTTCAGAATATTCAAATATTCATATTAAAAGAATATTTTTTAGAAAGAAGCTCTTTACTTCTCTTAAGCCTGCGGCGCACGATGCTTTTTCTTGCAGTATTGTTAGCTAGATTTGCATGCTTACTATCATATGGCAACGGTGCATACTGGTAGTACTGCTGACCATGTTGCTAGTTTGACTTCAAACAATGCGAGTTTCCATACTGACTAAGTAGCTTGTATTTATTTAACAAAAGGCACTTTAGCAAAGACACTACTAAAAGTATTCGAATAAGTAAACACGAAACAGATCGATGGTACATTGTAAAAGTACAATTGCATTGTTTTTAATTATTGCGAAGAGAATACTTCAATCACATAACCTAAGATTGCATCCCGATTGGCTCTCATAAAGAACCAGCACGAAACAATACAACAAAAATAACGCCTGACTTATCACGGAAATTCAACAGATCAGCCAACAGCGTAGCAGACTGCACAATTTCCAACATAGCAGCTAGTAAGATCGCCAGCACAATACATGCAAGCTATCCTACAGAAAAAAGCATCGTGTGTCGCAGACTTTAGTGATACTGTTCTTTATGGAAAACAGATATTTGTATCGGACGCATTCTAATTCGCATTGAAGAGATGATTTGTCTGGAGTTTTAGAGTTGAAAGAGATTAATATAAATAGATGTTTAGCGACGTAAAAATTCATTTCTTCCCTGCGTAGTCTGTATAGTAGTGTGTGTATAAACGCGCCTTCTTTAAAATGTATTCTTTATTTTCTTCTTTTTCAATATTTGATAATTTTCAGACACCCTGTATACATGATACATCCATGAGACACGCGCGCGCGCATACATAGTCACAACGGGTTAATACAAGTGCGTAAAGCGCGCGAGTGGCTGGCCTGAGTAGTTTCACGAAGAGTTTCCTCCTGGTCTCACAGTGCGCCGAGAGATACGGCATCTTGACTCCTAGTAGAGTAGCAGCGCCGTCAAAAGAGCGAAGTGAGAGAGAGAGAGAGAGAGAGAGAGAGAAAGACGGAATGAGAGAATAAGGTAAAGGAGAGGGGAGGAAGAGTGTGGCACAAGCAATGGCCGCGAGACCCGATCGATGTCTCGGCAACTTCCCCCTTCCACCGTTCAACGCGACACGTCCCTCCTCCGTGCCATCACCATCACAACTCGCCTCATCTCGCTCTCGTCAGCGTCTCTACCCTCGTCCCGCCACAACTTCACCGAGCATTACATTCTCCCTTCCCTTTTCGCCGAACTAAATCCCAGATAGTCGCTCGCTACCGCACCGCTTGCTTGCCTCTTCGAGTCTGTTTACAATGGCGATGTACTACTCCCATTATCCTCAGTGTACTTCACCTTCGAACCAACTGCATCGCCACAGTGACGACGACGGTAGCAACGATGACGATTATGGAAAGAGGGACGGATGCTAACGTGTCTAAACTGATCCGAAAGACCTACGCTTCATACATACCAAGATTCTTGAATATTTTCTCTTAGTACGATGCTATATAACATAGAACTTTGATTTGGACGATTCATGGCTTCATCGTGAATGAAACTTTCTTACGATGTTTCTTCTTGTTTTACGACAAAAGATATATTATAAAGAAGTATAAATTTCAATGCGATTTCATTATTGAATTGAAAGATACTTTAAATGATCAGATAGACATTTTTGATAGAAAAATTTTTATAGAGAAATAACGAAAATAAAATGTTATATTGGTGTTAATAGAAATATATTTAAGAGTTTATAAGATATGATTGAGATGAGAGATTAGTAGAAAAGCTTGTGAAATTCATTATTTCTTGAATGTCTATATTATATATACTGTGTGAAGATCTCTTAAAAAATGAGAACTTTTCTTTTATTATAATTCCCGATCCCTAATAGATTCCACATGACCAGTGAAATCAACTTCTAATGTAACTGTACTTATACTAAATAACCAATGATCATAAGATGAAGATTACTGATGGGATCCATAAAATGTAATATTTTGTAATTTGCGCCATTATATCTGACTTTCTTTGCGAATTATTCGATCATCATTGATCATCGATCTCTATATCGCTTTCGAAACAGAGGATTATAAGATGCAGTACATTAAAATCATAATATGATTTTACTGTATTATCTTCATGAGATATATGAAAATTGCGATGGAGATACTGCGATGGTATCATTATAGATTATTAAAGTTTTAGTTATAAATATTGTACAACAAACTTATGTTTTATTTTTTTAAAATAAGTGTAATAACTAATCGTTACACACGTTCGTAAATGTTCGTTAGAAAAACTTTAATTACTAAAAGTATTAGTTTAGTGTATTAATGCAACATTTAGTAAATATTAAGAAATCAGAAGACATCACAATAATAACCAACCGTTTGATAA